ATTATTCAAAATTATGATGTCATTGATGATAAAACAAAACAAGTTATGATTGCATTGACAAAACAGAACAAATTATGATGTCATTGATCCCAAAAAAACAAAGGAAATAATTGACCAAAAATGATACAAATCTTTTTCTTTTTTTTTTTTTGCATTCATAATTTCTACAGACATATGTCAATCAGAGATAAAAAAAAATAAAATAAAAATAAAAAATTAATCAACCACAATATATTGAGGGTGGTGGTGATTTTCCAAAAAAAGGTCCCACCCTTTTCCATAATTGACTTCGGGTGGAACATTCAATCGTGAAGGCTACGTGGGTGTGAATTGTCCAGTATGTCATTAGGGCTATCTCAACAAGAGTTATGTTAATAATTTTAAATAAATTATTAAATTTTTTATCAAATTTTTATATAGGTGACAGATCTATATACATGTAATTTGTATGGATCTAAGAGATTTGATAGAAAATTTAATAATTTATTTGAGATTCATAATATTTTCTTTTCTACAATTCTCACAAAATGATGACACGTGTGGATAAAATAGTTTTTTTTTTTTGAAAAAAAAAGGATACATTGTTTGGGATGATTTAAATAAGTGTGCTGTTTTCTTTTTTCTTTTTTATGAAAGATGAACAGAAAAATAGAAAAGTAATGTGACTTAAAAAAAAAAGATAAAAAACAAAATATATATATCTATATAATAAGGCACAAAAGTTTTTGAAAAATATATCAAAATGTATGTGAGATACATTTTGATCCAATGGTTGACATCAATTCTAATAATATATTAACGGTTGAGATCAATAGATACATCTGTTCTTGAATACACCTACCCACGTCTGCCTAAGCATCAATTCTCTCCCTAAGCATCATCACCTACCCACGTCTGCCTCTCCACTTTCCCTTTCTATCTCTCTCTCCCTCTCCCTCTCTGTTCTTGAATACACCTCTCTTTCACAGATACATCTCTCTCTGTTTGGGACAATCATTGTTCATTATCCACAAGTTTTAGGTTTTGGATTGAGGTTTCAATGGCTGCTGAGGACTCAGATTGCTTTACCCAATTTGTTTCGGAAACACTTGAGACAGATTCGCTTGGGGGTGAAGCAAAAAGAGGGCTGAAATCGACAGAGCGAAGCTGAACTGGGTTCGGGGAAGAAGATGAAGATGAGGGCTGAAATCGACACGTCAGCGCCTTTCGAGTCTGTGAAGGAGGCAACGAGTTGATTCAGTGGAATCGGTTTCTGGAAACCCAATTCCCACAAGCCCTTTGAATCTTCTAAGGTCTGCTTTCTCTCTCTCTCTCTCCAAGCAAAGTTTATTAATGTTTTTGCTTTAGAATTTTATTTTAACCTGTTTCACAGATACATCTCTCTCTATTTGGGATAAAGAATGGGGTAATCATTTTTTTTTTTTTAATTTTATGAGTGAAAAATAAAAATAAAAATGAATACATGTTTGCTTCCGAGCGTTTTCTGGGGTTTCGATTCCGATACCCTAGAACTGGCTTCAATTTTTTTTTATTAATCTCAAGAAAGCCAATTTGAATTGTACATTTTATTTTATGTTATTGACATAGAATTATAAAACAAAAACAAGACAACTAGGATCAAAACAAGTGGTTCTGGAGCACTGTGTTCCTCTCCATTGGTATATTTACTCTTTCCTTATATTACATTTATAATGCATATTTATTTAGATTTGTGTTGTGATTGAAAAAAGAAAAATGGAGGTAGTAGGCATTTATATTGATATTGATTTATGGGTTAATGTTGTAATGTCGTACTGATTTATGGGTTGTTGTTTTTTTTTTTTTTTATTATTATTGTTTATGGAAGATTCTTATGTTAATGAGCTAACAAGGAAGGCTGGGGTTTTGAGAATGAATTGAATTCTTTATGTTTTGATTTTGTTAATTATACTGCACAAAAAAAAGAAAGGAAAAAATGAAGCTTTAAGATTTGAGTTACCAGGGTTTTGATCGATACCCTTGAACTCGCTTCAATTTTAGATTACAGAAAGCCATATCGCATTGTACATTTTATGTTATTGACATAGAATTGGAGTGAGTCTGCATTTATGTTGAAGTTGTAATGTCGTATTGATTTTTGGGTCATTGTCCTTTTCTTTTCTTTTCTTTTCTTTTTTTCCAATGGAGAATTTTTATGTTAATGAGCGAACAAGGAAGTTTGGTGTTTTGAGAATGAATTGAATTCTTTATGTTTTGATTTTGTTAATTATACTGCACAAAAAAAAGAAAGGAAAAAATGAAGCTTTAAGATTTGAGTTACCAGGGTTTTGATCGATACCCTTGAACTCGCTTCAATTTTAGATTACAGAAAGCCATATCGCATTGTACATTTTATGTTATTGACATAGAATAAATATTTAAAAAAAAAAAGAGACAAGGATCAAAGTGAGTTTGAAGCTTTATGTTCAGCTCAATTGGTATAATTACTCTTTCCTTATATTATAATGCAGATTTATGTATATTTGAGTTGTGAATGACATATTGTAGGGGGTTGGATTCTTTGAGTTACATATATTTTTATATATATATATATTGTCATGTTGAACTCCATACATGCGATAGTTAATACATGCATGACAGCATGAGAAGGTATTTAGTATTTTAGAATATAACATTATCTTTGAGTGTTAAATTTTTTTTCGACAACCATTAGATTTAGTGATCGGCTCTCCTTCAGTGCAAGGTCTGGATTGGAGGGTGGTGTTTAGGTTCGTGGAGTTTATCATGAATTTATTTTAATAATTTAAACTGTTCATTTTTTAAGCTCTACGGGTATAGTATACAAAATAAATAAATAAAATAAGTCGATTAAATAATCGTAACCTATTCAATTTATCGCATTTGTCTAAAAAAAATAGGGGTAAATTACAAATACACCCTCGTGAAATTTGCTTAAAATACAGATTGTCTCCTGTAGTTTGAAAAATTACAAACACTCCCTTATTAGAATTTTTTATTTAACAGAATTAACTAAAAAAATAAAATTCATAATTGCTCTACTATACAGTAATAAAAATTGCCTAAATTATTAATTAAAACATATTTTTAACATTATTAAAAACTTTTAATTGACGTGATAATTTATTAATAAAAGGGATGATTTTTTATGAAGTTAGAAACCTCGGGATGAAAAATGTAATTTTCAAAATCGCAGGGAGCGATTCGTATTTTAATCAAATCTCATGGTGTAATTGTAATTTACCCAAAAAATAGATGATAAGTGTGCTTTTAAAAATATATAATCCAATTTTTATTTTTATTTTTTGTGAAACACGCAAAAATTAAATAGGTTACAATTATTGGATCAATCTTCTTTTCATTTTTTTTTATTTTTTATTTTTTATTTTTGGTGAATGATATACACATAAGAAGATCTTACAAAATAAATGATTTAAATCATTAAAACAAGATTTTTAGTGAACTTCATGAGCCTAAATAACACCCTCTAGTCTAAATTTGTATTGAAGAAGCTATGCCCTAAATTTGATACTACATGCATTTATTAAGGGGATATTTGGAATGAACTATATAAGTGTACTTTTTGACTTTTTGATATAAAAAAAAAAATAGAGGAAAAAAATGTGTATATTTGGGATAACTTTTTGACTTTTTACATAAAATTGTGTATTAAAATATTATAACAAATATCAAAATTATATTTCTACCCTTGAGTTGCATTTCATTTTTTTTTTTTTTTTTACATACTACTGCAAATTTTGCGTGGACCAACGTGTGGCACTTGTGTATAGATAGGGTGATGGGATGCCACAACTGGAAGGAGGAAAACTGTCTTTTTGCTGTTTGAATTTTCAGACATACAGTCCCGGCCAAACAAGGTAAAAAGATGAATTTTTTAATCTTTTTTAGTAACTTTTTGATTTTTTATCTTTTTTAGAGTATGTCAAACATGCACTAAATTTTACAATACATGACAATTATTATGTAGGGTTCTCATGTATATAGAGTTTTTTTTTTAATTATTGGACAATAGTATCAGGTCATTATGATCATATTGTATCACAATTTCTATTTAAAATTTTATAATGTAATAGGCAAATTTCCATTAGAATATCTAAGAAATTGTTATTACCTTTTTATTTGAAGTCACATGGGAGATATTCACCCTGTGATTCAACAATTGAGGCCGATAGATATCTTTGCATGCCCGTGATTGAATAAGAAGGGTCTGTTTGGTTGCATAAATGAAATGATTTCATTACAAAACAATTTTTTTTTTTTTTTTTTGAATCTCAATGTTATATGTTGCCCTATATTTTAAAAGTAAAAAACCAAATTTAATTTTTCCTTAAGAAACAAACAAATTTTGTTTATATTTTAGATTATTTATTTTTTTGCAGCTAAACAAATTTATTATCTAATTAATAAATAAGTTTAATTCTAAATGTTCAAATTCATATTTTTTTTGAGACAACCAAACAATACGTAGATTATGTCCTAACATGTCATCCTTCATCATGCTTACACCAAACATGTAGAGACATTTAACTAGCTTCCAAACTCCACACCATTAATTAACTACATGGATACCCATCTAAATAATTTCTTTCTTGCCCTTTGAAATATTTGATAAATCAATCAATGATTAGCCTTCTTAGCTTTTTATATAGATCATCATTTTTTATCCTAATTATTTTACCCAAGACCCTAAAAGGATGTGGGCTCTTTGTCAATCAATGGAGGGAAGTACATAAAATAATCTATATAATAAGGGAGGACTGTTTTTGAAAATGTCCCAAATGTATTAGAGATACGTTTGGTTTTAACGGCCAAGATGAATCCTAAGTTCATATACATTTAGATCGATGGTCTATATACATTTAGTTCCCACCCGTTTCCCCAGCTCCCTCTCTCTCGCGTTCTCTGTCATATTGTCTCTCATCACCACAGCCATTGAAGACCCTTCGAATCCTTCGATACCCACCCTCCCTCTTCGATACCCAACCCTTCTCTTCGACCTGACCGAGGCTGTCACCGACCGAGCCTCCCTCCATCCGACGATCGAGTCGAGTCTCTCTCTCCGACGATCGAGTCTCTTGCCTGACTCGCTTCTCGCCGCTCAGTCCCGCCGGACTCTCTTCTGTCGACGCTCTGTCTTTTGTCGACAGATCTGTCTTCTCTCGACTCTATCTCTCCGACCAGCCCAGTTCTGTCTCCGACCCGACCCAGCGACTCCAACCTACAGGTATATAACTACAAATTGAAATCTGTTGTTGTAGAATTTAGGTTTTTTTTTTGGATTTTTTTAAGGGGGCAAAAAAAATAAAAGTTAAATCTGTTGTTGTTGTTGTAGAATTTGGAATTTTTTTTTTTTTAGGGTTTTTTGTAAGGGGAAAAAAAAAGAAAATTGAAATTGAAATTTGAAATTAAAGGTGAGCAAATTTAAGGTGAGCAAATTTAATTTGTAGTGGCTATGCATTTTATTCTCCACTGCTATTTATGTTTGAACATCTAATTGATGCCGTTCACTTCATTGCATAAAGCTGCATGCTCCTTTAAATTCTGAAACAAAAAATAAAAATTAGAGACAACTTGGTATTTGCAGACTCATGTTTCTTCTACCCTTAAAGCTTCTGTTAGATTTTCAGCTTTAGCAAATGCGATTACGCTCAAGAATCTCATAAGGAAGGGAATTCTGGCGGTTTTACGGCCTAAGGTCTGGTTTTCGCTCTCCGGGGCAGCTAAGAAGAAATCTACCAATGATTTAATTAAGGCTGTCGAGAGCTATTACAATGATTTAATTAAGGCTGCTTTAGCAAATCCATCTTTTTTCTTTCAGCATTACATTGATTATTGTGGCACATTTATCATCATGTGAAAATTGGATGGTTGATCATTGTAAATTTGTAATGTTTGATGTTTGTGGGACTCCACTTCATTACAAAAGATGGATTGTTTTGCAATTGGATAACGGATTCTTATCTTAATAATGCTATTTGTTTGATCCTGAACATGAAATCACCAGGTTCAATTGAGCTTATTTAGTTTGCATTACATTACTTAACGACATAATTTTTTATCATACATGATGCATGCTTGAGGACAATGTTTACTGAGGGAATAATTTTCTGTCATTGTCAATATCCAGAATGGAATAGAAATACTGGAAATGGTTTTGGAAACCTCTTTCTGCATTGAGTCAAGTGGCTGATTTTATTATAGGCCAATTGGGGAATCTCTTGATTTAGTTTAATATTATTCGAAGGAATACAAATGTCAATATTTTCTAAGTTAAAGAGTTAATAGATATAGATGGATTTAATAATTATGGAGATGAATATGAGATCATAGCCTATTTTAGGTACACTTCTACTTTTTTTTGGCAACATTTGATGTGATATGTAAGGACTGTGGAGACTTATAGCTGTTTTTTCTCTGAGAAATTTCTTTTTGTAATTTTTCATTTGTTTATGTCTTGGTAAATGCATTTATGTCCTCAAGTTGAAGCTTATGGGTTGTGATCAAGCAGTAAGAATAGAGCATAAACAATATCTGTTTGTGTATGTATATGTTTGTAATTGGCTTTATTTAGAATATGTTTGTTCAAATTTCTGCAAAATTGGAAGAGTCTGCACTTCATTAGAACACATTTCTTGGGTTCCATGTCCATCCGAAACATCGCTATCGTTCATCAAAAGCTGTATTTTCCCCAATAAATTCTATTTTTATTTATATATTTGTGTTTTCAATTCATGGCTATATTCAGAAAAACTTTATGGATTACCTACTAGATCTGTTTGAATGATTTTGATCGATTTTGGTGTTTAACTGACTATCTTTGATTGAGTCTCAAATTTTTTTTTTGATTGACTATTTTCCGTCTGTTGCAATTCGGGTTTGAACTATGTATAATATTTTGTTTTGCCTCTGATTTGGAGATATTATCTGCTTAATTTTATGGTTTCTTTGTGTATGTGGACTATGTATGTATGTATTTAGTTCATTTAGATTATTTTAGTAGAATAGAGAAAAAAATAGGAAGCTTGTTGGAGAAAATAGAGAAAGAAGTGATTCTAAAAATAGGAAATAAATTTTTTAATAATATTTTAAGATAAAATTTAGATAAACTGATAAGGATGCTTAGTAGCTAGCTATTAAAGTCTTGCAAAGCATCTGTATGAACAATTAGGAACTGTAATTTAAAAGCCATAACTTTTTTTTTAGAGAGGAAAGCCATAACTTTAATCAGCTTGTAACCTGAATGAAAAAGAAAAAAAAATATGATTCATTGGGAAGTGGATCAATTATTTAAGAAAATATGAGAATTTTTTTTGAAGTGCAAATTTTTATTTTATGTTATTTTTTTGCACAAAAAGAGTAATATTTTATGTGTTTATAATTATTTTTGGTCATATTCTGATTTGTAATTTTTTTAATGAAAAATCTTTTGAATTTACATCAACAACCACGATTGATTAGGGTAGGTTTGAGAAGTGATTTTTTTAGTATTTTTTTTTTAAATTTCTTGGCTAAAATATAAGAAAACAAAATGTAAATGCTTGTGAATTATTTTTTAATTTTTTATGAAAAGATATAAAAAAAAATAGAGAGAATAAAAAAAATCTTTAATTTTTTTTGGGTATGAATTGAGTTTTTTTGACTTTTTAAATGGTCTTTTTTTTATAAAAAAAATTGATTAAAATATTATCCACCCGATCGAGACTTAGGCTAAGTTTGGCATATTACAAAAAATTTAAAAGTCAAAAAGTTACTTAAAAAGTTAAAAAGTTAACACTATTCATCAAAAGTCAACAATTACGACTGCACAACTCTCAATCCTAATTTTTCCTTACAAATCAATTTTTACAATTTTTTATTACACATTTTTTCATAAAAAGTCAAAAAGTTAACCCAAACATCCATATTTTCTTCCTTAATTTTTTAATCTAAAAAGATAAAAAATACACTTATTTAAAACATCTCAAACAGCTCCTTACACCCTAACCATAGTTTCCTTATCCAATGTAGGTAACTGAGTTAGCTGTTGCTTTCACATTTCAATTGCCGACTTGAACTTTCATTTCATTGGATATAGACGCAAAGGAAAGGGCAATGGTTTTCAAAGGGTGATATTTAGCGAAATGATATTTGAAATTATCAAATAATACATATTTGGAGTTTGTGGTTGTAAATTTTTCAAGGGAAATTGTATTATATGCACTTTAGTTAAGATATTTATAATCTTTGATTATAACATATTATGGTATTAATTATGATTTATTATAATATTAATTATTACATTATTTTGATTATGACTCAATAAATCTTTGGTTATATTTTGTGTTATTTAATTATAACTTTTTTTTTTAATTTTTAGTTAAGACCTGTAGCATTTACTATATTTATGATAATCAAATTTCAAATATCATAACTTAGTGTTGGGCGTCCCTCCTTGGGCTTGTGGGGGCTGATCACGGGATTCGTTTTGATAATTTGAATAATTCAATGTGTAGAATTCATTAAGTATTATATGTCTGTAAAAAATCACATTAATCGGATATTGATAGTTATCTCATCGGATTAGATTTCTGTCAACTGTTTATCTTTTTATCATTTATTTTTTATACAAAACTAATTTGATCATATAACTATCGATATCCGATTAATATAATTTTTTACAGACATATAATACTTGAGATTTGTAATAGACCCTATAAATCCAATAGTATCAGCCCATCCGATCCTAAACGGAAAGAAGCCGGGCCCCATCACCTATATATGACACATATTTTTTGAGAATGTGTACATAAACTTCGTCCACATATCACAACAGGAAGCAGAGTCGAAATAGAACACGATAAACCAAACTAATTTATGGCCCCAAGAATTCGAACCTGCCCTGTAAGACAGTTGACACTGAGCGTTGTTTGAATTTTAGTGTATATATTTTAAGACAGTTGACTACCGGCTGTCTGAAATTTAGGGATTGTTTAAGGTGTCTTATATAAATACATATTTTAATTTTTTGAGCTAAAAAGTTGAAGAAAAAAAAGATTATTATTTAAGTTAATTTTTTGACTTTTTATAAAAAAATATATATTAAAAAATTATATAAATTAGTATGTAAGAGAAGATTAGGAGTGTGAGTTGTATGGTTTTACTAGCTGCGTAGTTGAATTGATGCCAAGAAATGATTGGCTACTTTTTGGGCATTGCACTAGACGGTGTTGTTCGACCCGTTGGGGGGCCATCACGTGTCCCATTTTGATAATCTGAACCGTTTAATGTGTAGAACTCGTCGAGTACTATATGCCTGTAAAAAATTACATTTATTGGATATCAAAACTATCTGATCAGATTAGTTTTTTTTCAACCGTTAACTATAATACTATTCATTTTTTTATTTAAAATGGATTTGATCATGTAATTAGCGATATCCGATCAATGTGATTTTTTACAGACATATAGTACTCGACGAGTTTTACACATTGAACGGTTCAAATTATCAAAACAGGACTCATGATGGGCTTCCACGACCGAACAACAATGTGTTAAAATTGCACCCAACTGTGAAATTTTTCTTAAAAACGCAGCCATAGATCCATCATCGGTTAGCTTGTCTTGTAATTTTGTGTGTAATATTAATTTTTTAATATTTTTTTTTGTGAATAGTGATAACTTTTTAACTTTTTGAGTAATTTTTTGACTTTTTATCTTTTTTTATATATGCCAAACCATGCTTTAGTCTATAGCTCCATTCGGGAAGAAATGTTTGGAGTTTTTTTTGGCTAAAATAGTCACAAAAAACAAAATATGTTTTTTAGTCTAATAAGATAAAACATCACATCCAACCCATAATTATTATGTTCTTTCTCTCACAAAAAATTCAAAAAAACCAAAAGCCCTTTCCAAACCAGGCTTTTTATCCTTAGGCTAAAATAACCAAAAAAATCAAAAAACCAACCCAGTTTCCAAACGAAACCTATATATTTTATGAAAATATTTGGGACTCTCTTTTAAAGAGATCCCACCACTCCCACAGTGATATGAATTAATGATATATTTGTATTATTATTTTTTTTCATTTTTACTTAGACCAATCACAAATAAGTAGAGGTTGTGGGGGTAATATTTTGTAGGGATCTGAATCATTACTGATATTTTAAATCTTTTTTATAAAAAATAAAAAATTATATAACCTAAACAAATACACTTATCAAATAAATATATTTATTTATCTATTTAAAAAAATAAATCTATATAATAAAGTATGATGGTTTTTGAATTTGTCCTACTAGGATATTTGAACAGCTCAGATCTATTCAAATTATAAAATAACGACTGAGATATATTTTTCAAAAAAAATCCTACATATATATTTTCTATTTTCTCGCTTCTCTCTTTTATTTTTTCTTTTTCTCACCCATCATTATATGATCTCATGATCCCACATTCCTCTCCCTTTTTTTTTTCTTTTCTTTTTTATTTTCTTCCATTTTTATTTTTCTCTCCATTTTTTTTTTTGGGTCCTTTTTGTGCACTTATTTTTATTCATGTTATATGGAAAAGTTTTTTGTCACGACCCGCTCCCCGTACCCAAAGGGTTAAGTATGGTGATGGCCAGTAACTGAAGTTACCTCCGACCAAATCATAAACAAATCAAATAACGCGAGCGGAAGCAATATTTAAATAAGGGTACCAAAATAATCATTGGAGTTTCTATTTTTATTACAAAATATATTGATCAAAAATGCCGATATTTATATAGAAAAATATCATAAAAGTGCTGTGTGTGTCTAATCCGCAGCCTCGCATCTAAGACTTTCCAAAAGTGTAACGCCCTCAAAAAAAATACATAAAACCCATCTCTTTGGACATGCATTGATAAAAAGAAACCAACCATCTTTCCATTAATCTGAGTAGTTCTTACAAAGTATTGCATGTTAACAACAAAAGCAAATGCCCTACGGGCTTACAGCTTTCCAAGTTAACACTTGGTTACAAAAAGAACAGTGCTAACTCAATACATATTAAGCCCTTGGCTTGAATTTACATGTAATACATCAAAAGAAAACAAATAACAAAGCAGTCTGTCTGCCTCTAGCCTCCCAAGCTATGTCCTTGGAGGTGGCATACTACCTGTACCTGAAAATGATGTCCCATAAAGGGTGAGCCACAGCCCAGTAGAAATACACTAAACCAGCCATGAACAATGACTAAA